AGTGAGATGCCACCCACTCCACTCTTCTTTTGTAGAATTGCTTTGGCAATGTGGGGTCTTTTATTATTCCAGACGAATTTTATGATTGTCTTTTCTAAATCTGTGAAGAATGTGTCTGGTACTTTGATTGGCATTGCATTAAATAGGTAGATTAATTTGGGTAGAATTGCCATTTTGGTTATATTAATCCTTCCAATCCAGGAACATGGGATGTCCTTCCACTTTTTTGTGTCATTTTCAATTTCTTTTTTTAGCTTCTCATAGTTTTCCTTGTGGAGGTCTTTAACTTCTTTGGTTTGTTTGTTTGTCATTAGGAAGTATGTCAAATCTTTTATTATCTTGCTTCTTTCCGCTCTTCTGTACTATTTGACATTATATTTTACATACTATAAATGCTTGCCTATATGCAGTCCTAAAAGGCTCTGTATGCAGTACTTTCTATTAATACATGGCCTACCAGCGATATAAATTACTTCTCACTAAACAGACCCCAAAGGATCAGTTTATTACATAGAATTAATCATTGTAGGGGACTTCATGTAGCCAGTTGAGCAAAATTTGAGTGAGTCTTCAAAAGGTTCATGGAAAAATATGTATTATTAGATAACTATACATGAATTTCAAAATCTTTTTGCACCATAATAAATTTGTACTTAATTTTTTTTCCATTGACCATTTGGAAGTCTCACGAGTCATGACTTGTATTATACATACCAACTTAGATTTTGAAACACATACACATCACATGTATGTCAAAGCTTCTTTGTAGGGACCAGCAGTTAGCGTAATGGCTATGTCGCTGGACTCCCGTGTGGTTGGCCATGGTTCAATTCCTGGACCTGGCGACTTGAACTCACGCTGGGTGTGTGTGCGTGCGTGCCCAGGATCCTGAGAAGAGAATGGAGGAGAAGGGATTGTGGCGTGGCCATCCCCCCTGGGGAGTGATTTCTCACTTTCTATCTCTCTGTCTCTCTCTGTCTGTCTGGCGAGCACACGCGCCCTATAGTGAAAAACCTCTCAAAAAAAAAAAAAAGCTTCTTTGTAAACAGTGTTTGTTTTTATGAACATTATCGGGATCTTACTTTGGAAAGAAATTTGAATGCTTTGATAAAGACAGAGTTTGCGACTCCTATCATTAAGGTAATAGATAATGTTTAAGAATGTTTGGGGAGGGATATGTTGCTTTAATATGACATACATAGGGTTTATTACTAAGCAGAAGATTTACATAAATCTTAAAGCAAAATATTGAACTTATTAAGGGACTTTGTTTCTTTTTATAGCATGTTATCAGACATTCCATCAAAGAAATTAATTTTGGACTTTACTGAAAGTCTGTTTCCATCACCTACTAAAAAGCACATTTGTCAAATCAGTAATAAAGATGAAGAAAAGGTGCAATACTCTCAACAAGGCCATTTCATTTCAAGTCCACTCAAAACAGCTAAAAAAAATAGATTACCATCTGCAAATGAAGGTTCACCATTTAAAACTGCTATGTCCACTGTATCCTTTTACAACAAAGATAAGTGGTACCTCAATCCATTGGAGAGGAAGATGATAAAGGAGAGTAGAGCAAATAACCTAAAAAATAATAATGCAGGTATACCTATTCCCAGTGTGACAGAAAAAAGACAGGGAAAACCAGTCTGCCCCAAGAAGAGGAACAAAAAACCACAGAAGAGTTTGACTGCTAAATATCAACCAAGCTATAAGCACATCAAGCCTGTATCAAGAAATTCTAAAAATCCCAAGCAAAATCGAGTTGTCTGTAAACCAGTTGTACAGAAAGAGAATAAATGTCATTCAGCTGAAAGTGATTTGAATCCTCCCCGGGTTCTAAGTCAAAAAGTAAAACCACAAGTTACACTCCAGGGTGGAGCAGCATTTTTTGTTAGGAAAAAAATCTCTCTTAGACATTCGTCTCTGGAAAATAAGTCATCAAAGTCAGAAGTGATTGAGGATTCTAATATAGAGACCGTCAGTGAAAGAAAAACTTCTGAGACAAAGCAAGTGCCAAAGAACTTGTTACTAGAAAAGAAACTGAACATTGAGCTAAGTTCAAGAAGTAAAAATGAAGAGGGATTAATAAAGGTAAGAAAGCTAAATATATCACATTTAAAATAGTTACAATATAAATAACATATAACAAAGTTGAACAAAATTTTATTTTCTTTACAGTCTGGAAGACTGCTTTTATAAAGCTGAATGGTATGATGTTTATTGCTAAAGAATTTAAAGGCAGGGTACAAAATGAGACTTTTCTCTTTTGGTTTAAAGAAGCCTACTGAGGATCCAGCAGGTGGTATAGTGGTTAAGGCACTGGACTCCCATGTGGCCGACTGTGGTTCAAGTCCTGGACCCAGCAGCTTGAGACTCACTCCAGGCATATGTACATGTGTGCTCAGAATCCTGGGAGGAAAGTAGAAGAGACGGGTTTGTGTAGAAGAGACAGGTTTGTGGCATGGCCATCCTCCCAGAGGGTGATTTCTAACTTTCTGTCTCTCTGGCAAGTGCACATGCCCTATAGCAAAAACACCTCTCAAAAAAAAAAAAAAAGTATTTTATTTTATTATTATTTTTAAATTTGCTGTAGGGCACATGTACCCAACAGAGAGAGAGAAAGCAAGCCACCAGCTTTGGGACTCCAACCACAGTTAACCATGTGGGAGTCCAATACCTTAACCACCACACCACCTGCTGGGCCCAGGAGTTCTACTTTGATCACGAGTGTTTTTCCTTTTTCCCAAAACTATATATTTCCTAAGTCTTACCAAATTAGTGTGGTATAATGAAATTTGTCAGGATTTTTTTCCTAGTTTGCTTTTCCCTTTTCCCCACTCCTACTCAAAAAGAGTGACCTTTGTAGAAGAAGCCTCTCCATGAATGTTCTTTCTTTCCCTGGGGCTGTTTTTCAAGTTTATGACAAACAGTTCCTTTCTAGTTTGGTAACTACTGAGGAACTTTTTGCTATTTTTACTAATTATTTTGTTCATTATTATGGAAGGAATGAACTTTAATTTTCATTTTCTATCAAATTATAAGAAGACTTCAAAAAGTTTGTGGAAAATTAGAATTAAACTTTATTTTGCAAAATATTTGAAATCCATGCATGGTTTTTTCATAATACTCATTTACCATGAACTTTTTGAAGACTCTTAGTGCATTTTTCCCACAGGATAACATATTTCTAGGTGTGCACTCTGGCTTTTAAAAAGTTATGTGCATTTAATAGATTCAGAAGAACTTTTCCTAAAATAGACTGAAATTGAGTATTTGAAATCACATTATGAAATGTGAATCATAATAAACTATATCTTTTGTTTAAGAAATAGATGTGTTAGGATTCATTCATTAAATAAAAAATAAGAATAACAGACTTGTTTAACTTTTTTGACTCATCATTTTTTTTTTTCAGGATGAAGTAATTTCTTCAGGGGAATATAAACTTGATAAAAATAACTGTTTTTCTTCAGAGGAGTCTCTTGGTGAAAGCAAGACAAGTAAGTAAAAGAAAAGTCTTCTCACATGAGTTTGACTACTCTCAATGCTTCATTACATGTGTCAATGTGAAACTTATATCCAATAATATTTTCTGGGCCTTTTTTTTTCATATATATATATATATATGATCAAAGCTTATTTGTGAACAGAGCTTGCTAAGTCATAGAACTGACACTAAAATTTAGCATCAAGATCCCTGGGATTTTTTTTTTTTTTTTTTTGTACAAGTCAACTGCTCTCTTAAGTGTGTAATCTAGGAAGAGATCTTTATGTTAGGAGTTATACTTCATTTTAAAATTCTTCTTAGTTCTGAAGTCCTATTACTCATGATAGTGTCATGGTTTGATTAAACAGTATTCACTGAACTATGAACCAATAAAGAAGTTAATGAGCCTTTTACTTACCAACCAGATTCCTAGTAACTGTCACCTCATTGATTATATCTGTAAGGTTTGAAGTGAATTGCATTTCTAGGAGTACATGCTGACTTGATAGTGAGAAGCTATAGCTTGTAGGAAGGAAACAAAGATAAAACCAGGAATAAACTAGAACAATAGCCCTTAGAAGATCTAATGTGTTATAGAATATTTTTTCATGATGCTATTTCTGAAATGTAATGTTAACAAGTAGTACTTAGTGCTGAATATGGAATAGGCAATGCTATTTAATGTATATTATTCCTAGGGGTTTCATTCCCAGCACTGATATAATAGAATATATAACAGAAAAATAATAGCTTTTGTTTATAATAGTTACACATTAAATTTACCTGGGTACATTGTCTAAGTCAATTCAAAGAAAAATATTTAGTGAATAAAAGTAATACAGCTAGCAGAAGAATATGGCAAAAGTCATGAAATTAATGTACAAATGACTGAAATTTGGGTTTTTTTTTTTTTTTTGTTCATAAGCCTTATTTTTCCATAATTTTAGATTTTATTTTCTCTCAGTCTGCGGCTTATTTTTTCATCCTCTTAACTGTTTTTTTCTTTTTTTTGGCAGAGCAAAATTTTTCAATTTCACAAAGTTCAACTTAATCACTTTTTTTGGGTGTGTATTGTGCTTTTGGTGTTACATGTAAATTATCACCAAAGTTCATGCAGATTTTTCTCATATTTTTTCTCAAAAACTTACAATTTTATGTTTTACATTTAGATCTGTGATCCTTAAGGTGTGGATATGTGTCATTTATTGCAAATAGACATCCAGTTATTCCAGTACCATTTGTTGAAAACTATCCTTTCTCCATTGAATTACCTTTGCCTCTGTCAAAACTCAGTTGACTCGGAGCCAGCAGGTGGTGTAGTGGTTAAGGCATTGGAGCCTCACTGGTGTAGTGGTTAAGGTACTGGACTCCCACATGACTGACCATGATTTGAGTCCCAGGCCTGGTGGCCAAGTGTGTGTGTGTGTGTGCCCAAAATCCCAAGGGGAGAATTGGAGGAGAGGGGCTTCTGTGGCCATCCACCCTGCAGGGGGTGATTTCTTCTTTTTCTCTCTGTCTCTGTCTCTCCAGCAAGTGCATACACCAAATAGCAAAAACAAAACAAAAACAAACAAACAAACAAACCAGTTGACTTTAATTGTGTGGTCTATTTCTGGGCTCTGTGTTTTGTTCCATTTATCAATTTGTCTATCCTTTTGCTAATAACATACTGTTTTGATTACTGTTAATGTCTTGAAGTCAAATAATATATTTTATTCCTATTAACTTTTAAAATTTTATTTAAAGTTTTGATTTTATTTAGTCATACAAATTTTTGCTATTTCTTTCCCCTACCAGTTTCCTCTGAGTCTGTTGTCTATCCCATCTTCAGCATGTCTTCAGTCAGTACAAAAAGGTAGGAATTGTTCTTCTTTTAGTGTCTAAAATATATTAATCATGTAAGTCCGAGGTTTTTTTTTTCCTATGTTACTTTATTTGGGGATATTTTTTTCTTCCCCACTAAGGGGAATGAGAGACTACTATTAATAATAGGAGTTAAAATCAGACCTTGCATAGAAACTTCACTGCCCTAATGAAAAGTTGTTGAATCATAATATGCTGGTGATTCTGATTTCCCATGGATCCGTAAGAGTCAGTATTAGAGTCTACTTGTTTGCTGTGGTACCCCAAGAATTTTTTTATAACTATATGGATAAATATTGTCCTAAGATTTGATAAGGCAAAAAAACAAAAATCATTTTTTAAAGGTAAGGTCAACTTCTCAAGTGATTCTACTTATGTGCATCTTATATTAGACTCGAGTTTAACACTGCCATCCATAGTTACTTTATGTTGAGTAAATTACACTCTCTGAGTGGATCTCTGGTTTCTCATTGTTCTTTTCCCTGTTTGTGCAAGTTATTGTTGGATGTAAATAATTAAAAATTATAAGGTTATCTGTAAATGTTATATACATATGTTTGTTTTCTTTTCGTTGTAATTCTTCAAACATTGAAAAATTATTACATATTTGTCACCTTTATTTCAAGATCTCTAGCTGAGGAACAGTCTTCTGTGGAATCCACTGGATGTGCTAACTTCTTGAAATTTACCAATTCACAAAAAAATACTAATGCTGGAGATACAAAGAAAGAAACAAAAGACCAACTCATTATTGTGAGTAAACTGAAAACCAACCTCCTTCTGTGTGTGACTCTCACATATAGAACATGAAGTTAGACATATTGTTTTAGCATAGTTAACTTGTATTGTAGATACTCTGAGTTCTGTAAATATGAATACCCTGAGTTCTGAAATGCCAGTTTTACCGTATTGACAACATTTAAATTTATATAGTAGACTTTTGAACTGGTAGTGTTAGGCAGTGCTAGTAATTTAGTAGAATAATGATGAATGAGCAGTGTGTCCAGATGAGGTTGGACACAACCTCGTCTTTTGTTGATTGACAGTAATTTTGAAGAAAGTGTGTTTATTGAGTTAGATCTGGCTTTGGCACACTATGGCTATGGGCCAGATTTGGCCCATGGTTTGGGAATTAAAAATGATTTTTACATTTTTTTAAAGGTTTGAGGTAAAATAAAAAGAGAAATATGGGATAAACCATGTGTGGCTTATGGCCTGCAAAACCTAAAATATTTACTGTCTGGCCCTTCATAGAAAATGCTTGCCAATTCCTGTATTAGACGGAACTTGTCATTTTCAATGACAAGCAGTGCTGTATGAGATAAGAGTTCTAGGTCATGACATTGAATATTCCTGACTTCCCTATTTTCATGAATTTATATGTGCTTTCCCTGAACTTTTATTATGTATTATATTATTTTAAATCAATTCTTGGGGCAAAAAAATTTAATATTCTTAATAAAGAATTTAATATTTTTAACCATTTTAGGAAAAATGCTATATAATTAAAGTAGAAATCCTAAATTTTGGCTCACCTCTTTGAAAAAGGCTTTTTTAATGTCTTTCACTTAAAAGATTCATAAAGAAGTTCCATTATTTGTCTTGGCTGTAATTTTTATCATTTAGTCTTATTGCTTAGAACTGAGAGTCTGCTAAAACAGGAGTTTCCAACCCCTGGGCTGGTACTGGTCTGTGGCTTGTTAGGAACTGGGTCACGGAAGTTGAGGTGCTAGTAAGCAAGGGAGGTGTCATCTATATTTATAGCCTTTCCTCATTGCTCACATTAGTACTGGAGCTCCTCCCATCAGATCAACACAACATTAGATTTTCATAGGAGTGAAAACCCTATTGTGAACTGTATGCAAAGGATCTAGGTTGCACACTCAAACCACCATCACTATCTCCTCAACCCACTGTCCATGAAAAAACTATCTTCCACAAAACTGGTCCCTGGTACCAAAATGTCAGGGACCACAGTACTAAAGAATGTTGGCTTTTTGTATTGTTCGCTGAAAAAGTCAGTTGCATTACTTTGATCATGTTATTGCATTTTTAGGTTTCTTCTCTTATTCCCTTTTGTTGTAGGGAAGGAGGATATAGTAACCAGACTTCGATTTTATATTTCACTTGTGCCAGAAGATAGAGGCATTTTAATGAATCTTTACAGAAACTTAATTTAGAGTTATTTGTGAAATATTTAGACTTCTCCCCCTGTTGACAGGATGCAGGTCAGAAATATTTTGGGACTACTGTGTGTAAGTCTTGTGGCATGATCTATACTGCTTCTAACCCTGAAGATGAAATACAGCATGATCAATATCACCACAGATTCCTGGAAGGAATAAAATATGTGGTGAGTAAAAAGATAATCTTTCAGTTTCTTCTAAAACTACTTCATAAGAGATATCTCTTCCTTTCTTTCTTTCTTCCTTCCTTCCTTTCTTTCTTTCTCTCTTTCTTTCTTTTAAGAATTATTTCTAACTTTATTTATTCATTTATTTAAAATTTTTTTACCAAGAGAGGGACAGACTTAGAGAAAATGAGAAACCCGCCAGGTCCGGGACTTGAACCGTGGTTGGCTATTTGGGTGGGTGTCCAGCATCCTTAACCACCACACCATCTGCCAACTCCTAAGAGAATTTCTTTAGATTAAATATTGGAAGATCTATATGTCCATCAATATCTCATTGTCTGTAGTTTTCTTATCTTTAAAACTTGAGGCTGACACTGTTAAAAAGTTAGTTTTTAATAATGCCATTTCACTCTTATTCTAATGTAAGAGAAGTATTGTTATGGATTGATACCCTGCATTCTTACCTGTAGCTTTCTGAGCAGAACTGAGCAGTCAAGATATAAATGAAAGACTTGAGACTGCTTCTCCCTGCCGAAGTTTCTTCTTTATAGATAGCCTTAGAAAAACCTATCTAAACTTCTCAGGCCTTTTTTGAGAGGAAAAGTTCCACACTTTATCAAGCACCTTTCTGACCCAATACAGTCTATTGTTGGACTTAATCTTTATGATTGTACTTGCTATTCAAATGCATCCCGTTCCCCTTTTTTTTCTTTATTTTTGTTTCCATAGTTCATGCCTTCATAATATTTTTTTCTTTTTCTTTTTTTAAGGTTTTTGTCATAGGGTGCATGCAGTCTCTGGAGAGAGACAGAAGGAAAGTGAGAAATTGCCACCCAACCCCACCATCCTGGGGGAATGGCCATGACAGTTCCTTCTCCTCCATTCTAAAATTTTGGACATGTACACACACACTCCCAGCCTGATTTTCAAGCCACCACGTCCAGAACTTGAACCATTCCCACATGGTTGGCCATGTGGGAATCCAGTGATTTAACCCTATACTACCTGCTGGCTCCATCCTTCATAATGTTTTTAGCACAGTTTATTAAAATAGCTTTTATAATGGGCTCCTATGTCTCTACTAGAATAACTCTTCCCCCTCCCCCCCTTTTTTTTTTCTTTTTTAAGGACAGAGTCTTGCCATGTCACATCTGCCTGCCTTAGCCTGCCCACTAGGACTGCAGATGCACAGTCATTCTTGGCTTTTTTTTGGGGGGGAGGAGAGGTTTTTGCTACAGGGCACATGTGCTTGCCAGACAGACAGAGAGACAGAAAGCGAGAAATCACCTCCCAGGGGGGATAGCCATGCTGCAATCCCTTCTCCTCTGTTCTCCTCTCGGGATCTTGGGCATACACACACACATGCCTGGCATGCGGTTAAGCCACTGGGTCTGAGACTTGAACCAGGGTCAACTATGTGGGAGTCCAGCGCCATAGCCATTACACTAACTGCTGGTCCCATGCTTAGCTCTTTTTGATACAGGGTCTTATGTTGCCCAACCCAACTGTGAACCCTCAGTCTCTGTGCCTCAGCCTCCCTTATGTTGCTAGAACTACAGACTCATACCACTGCACCGAGTCCTTAGGTTGGACTGGCAATTGAACCTGGGTTTCCCTGTGGTCCCAGCTTGTGAAGCACAGTTTTAGCACACCATTGCTGCTGGGCCCAGAATAATTTCCTAAACATATCTCTAGTATGATTTTATATATTTTAAGAAAGAAAAAGTTCTCATTAGCAGTTAGGTATTTCTTTTTTTCTTTTTTCAAGTTTGCTATAAGATAAATGTACTTACTGTAGATAGGCCCAGAGAGAGAGAGAGAGAGAGCGCGAGCACACGCATGTGTGTACATGCCCATCCCCCTGGGGAGGGCCACATTGCAATCCCTTCTCCTCCATTCTTGGGAATTTTTTCGGTACTCACACACACACGCCTGAAGTGTTTTTTAAGCCACTGGGTCCGGAACTCAAACTGTACTGTTGACCATGTGGGATCCAGCTGTCTTAACCACCACAGTACCTACCTGGCTCAGTTAGATGCTTCTTAATCTGACCTCAACTTCTGTACATGTGTGAAAAACATATACAAGTGAAAAAGTGTGTATATATGTACTTTTATGTTCTTGAATCCTCTAATCTGTTCTCAATATATGAGCTGGAGAGTTCTTTGTAAAATATAAATAAAATTCTGTAATTCTCTGCTTTAAATTTAGCAGCTTCCTACTACATTGGGATTAAAACCCAATTCTCTTACCAGGGCCAGAAAAGCCCTTCATAATCTGGCCCCTCCCCATCTGATCATATGGTACATTGCCCTTTGTGTTTATAAGTTCCAATCTCTGGAATAAATCAAATTATTTTGATGAGTCCTGAGTACTGTTTATAGTGGATTGTCTTCTTTATGGGAACACAATGTGTGTATTAACCCTTAAATAGTTTGTATAATATTCCTCTGTTAAAAATACATTTTCTCTATCTCTCTTTTGAAGGTCTAAATTTATTTATGCTTTTGATACAGCAATGCTTTCACCCATCTTCTCAGGAGACTGAAGCAAAAGACCATGAAGCCAGCCTGTGCAACATGGATCTTGTCTCTCTTTAAAAAAAAAAAAAAGAAAATTGCATTCAGTGAAAAACATTTTTTCTTACCCCTTAAAGGCATCCAGTTCCCCTATCTTAAGGCATCTGAAGTTGTTGCCAACAAATATTCCACATGCCAAATTATTGTGCTGGTGATTGAGATTAAATTGGTGAATAAAACAATGAGCCTATAGTCTTATTGAGCATTGGGAATAAAAATGTAAGGATATAACTAGCAGAGAAATAAGCGAGCACACATTCTCTCCAAGAAAGACCATATATACTCCTGTAATGTTCTAAACACAGAGATGGGGGCAAGAAACAGTTGGAAATAGAACAATGGTAGTTTCTTGATCTAAAAAAATAATAATTAATGCTGATGTTCCCTTTTGTTAGCTAATTAATGTGTACTGGGACAGATATGTGCCAAATTGTTGAAAGGAACATGCAGTGAGCCTCCAGATTGTCTGGATTTGTCTTTACTAGATCCTCTTTATTAAGGCTTCCCTTGGAACTCAGCTTATTTTGTCCTTCTTCCCCTGCCCACAGGGATTCAGCACTTCTTTCTCTATGTTCCTATAAAGGGTTCTTATTTGACTTTGCTTTGTTTATATTTGATTATATACATGTCTCCCAATAGGATATAAACTTGTTTAGGGCAGGAACCTTGTTTTAGGCATCTTTTTATTCCCTTTTCCATGTTACTTTCAGATGAATGTCATCTTTTTATATCATTCATTGTTTTCCTTTGTCCTCTCTAAATTATTAATTTTATTTTTTCTTTCACAAGTTAAACGGTGACCTGTTTTTTGCTTTTGGCAGGGCTGGAAGAAAGAACGTGTAGTAGCACAGTTCTGGGATGGGAAAATTGTGTTGGTCTTGCCACGTGATCCTAGTTATGCTCTCAGAAAGGTGTGGAACATAATCTTTTTAATTCTGTTCTTCCCCTGCCCCTAAGAAATCAACCTATGTTAAAGTGTAAACTGCCTTTTGCTGATAGATAATCCATATGGGTACATGCCTAAGGATAGCTTTCAAAGTAGTTCATACAAAACTAAATTTAGAATTACAAGACAAATAAAAAAAGTACCAGTTAGAGATTAAAGAAAGCAGATAAGACTTCATGGCTTATTTACCTTCATCTTCTACTTGTAAAAGATGAACTAAGTTTTTCAATGTTGAGAAATTAATACCTCCTTGAGTCTGTTTCTTACATTGATATTGCCTGTGTTTTTCGGGTTGGAAGTTTTGCTACCATATACAATGAATACAATTAAGCAAATCTGCTTTGGCACTTTCTACTCCTTATCTCTCCCAGGTATCTGAATTTCTTTCTACTGAAAGTGATCTTTAAATAATAATAGGTTCTTAAAACCCTATTGCCTAAGTGGTAGATACATGCATCAATAGAAATAATTTGGGGGATGTGTAAGTTTGGAAAATAGATAAAAGAGGCTAAAAAAATGGTAATCACATTTTATGTATATAAACCTATGGTTTCTATTGTGCTCTTTAAAACAAATTCACCTCTTTTGTTTTTTAACATCATTAGGTAGAAGATGTCCAAGAACTTGTTGATAATGAATTGGGCTTCCATCAAGTTGTTCCCAGGTGTCCAAATAAAACCAAAACTTTTCTCTTTATATCTGATGAGAAGAGAGTAGTTGGGTGTTTAATTGCAGAGCCCATCAAACAGGTATGGTATAAGTCTTTTAAATTGTTGGCATTATTTGTAAGCAAAATAAAGAGAAAAGTCTGGAGAAGTCTCAATAAGCATTTAAGATCACTATCATCAGTGACTTTTTTCCTTCTGAAATATCTTTGACCAAATATATAACTGAAGGTACTTACTTCTGTAAGTACTTGGTATTTTGCCTTTATAAGCAGTTAACCAGTCTTTTTTTTTTTTTTAAGAGTTACTTATTTAATTTTATTTATTATTATTTGTTATTAAATTTGCTATAGTGCACTTGCACTGAACTGAGAAATAGAGAGGAAAGGTGAGAAAGTAAGCTACCAGGTCCAAGATTTGAACCACAGTCTGCCACTTGGAAGTCCAGTGTCATAACTACCATATCACCTACTGACCCCAGCAGTCAGCCAATCTTATGTTCATGTAATCATTTTCTTTTCTTTTCTTTTTTTTTTGAGAGGTTTTTGCTATAGGGCGTGTGCGCTTGCCAGACAGAGAGACAGAGACAGAAAGCAGGAAATCACCCCCCAGAGGGGATGGTCACGCTGCAATCCCTTCTCCTCCATTCTCCTCTCGGGATCTTGGGCACACACGCGCCCAGTGTGAGTTTTAAGCCACCGGGTCCAGGACTCGAACCGCGGTCGACTACGTGGGAGTCCAGCGACATAGCCATTACACTGACTGCTGGTTCCCTCTTTTCATGAACTTTTTGAGGTCCCCTTGAAAAACAGCTGATTTACATTATTGGCAGTAAATGTGATCATTTGGATTTTTTTCTTCATCCTCAGCTTTAAGGTATAATAAACATCTAAAATGGTATATATTTATGGTGTACAGTTTGATGTTTTGATATACATACCATTGTAAAATGACCAGATCAAGCCAATATATCCATTACCTCTGACAACATTTTTAAAGGAATTTAAAATTTTATCTTACTTATTTATTATTATTTTTAATTCACCAGAGAGAGAGAAGGAAAGTGAGAAGCAAGCCACCAAGCCCAGGATTCAAACCACGGTTGGCCATGTGGGAGTCTAGCACATTAGCCACCACAGTCTCGTCAGGACACACCAACTACTGGTCCCGAGTTCAGTGTTTTTAAGATTCCACAGATGAGGAACCGCAGATGGCATAATAGTTACGTCGCTGGACTTCCACATAGTCTATCACAGTCTATTCAAGTCCTGGACGTGGTGACTTAAAACTTATGCCAGGCACATGTGTGTGTGTGCCCAAGATCCTGAGAGATGAATGGAGGAGAAAGGATTGGGCGTGGCCATCTCCCTGGGGCGTGAGTTCTCACTTTTGTCTCTCTGGAGAGTACATGCGCCCTATAGCAAAAAAAGATTCCACATATGAGTGAGATCATGCAGTAGATATGTAGTGTTTGTCTGTTCGATACCTGGCTAATTTCACTTAGCATAATGCCATCCAAGTTTGTCCCAGTTTCTGTAAAATTATAGGGTTTCCTTTTTTTTAAGGCTGGATAGTATTCTATTGTGTATATATAACACATTTTCTTTATTTATTTATTCATCAATAGACATTAGGTCGATCCCACATCTTTATTTATTTATTTATTTTTGGAGAGGTTTTTGCTATAGGGCGCGTCCACTCACCAGAAAGACAGAGAGAGACAGAAAGACAGAAAGCGAGAAATCGCCCCCAAGGGGGAATGGCCATGCCACAATCCCTTCTCAATTCTCCTCTCAGGATCTTGGGGACACACGTGCCTGGCGTGAGTTTAAGCCACCAGATCTGGGACTCAAACTGCGGTCGACTACATGGGAGTTCAGCAACATAGCCATTATACCAATTGCTGGACCCTGATCCCACATCTTGACTGTCATAAATAATGGTGCAGTATACATGGGAATGCATATATCTTTTTGACTAATTTTGTTTCCTTTGGATATGTACCAGAAGCTGAATCATATGGTTCTGATTTTATAACTACAGGTGTGAGGTGATATTGTGGCTTTAATTTGTATTTCCCTGAAGATTAGCAATGTAGTGCATTGTTTTGATATTACTGTTGGCCATTTTTGTCTTCTTCTGTGAAACGTCTGTTTAGACAATGTCCTTTACTTATTTTAAAAATCAAGGGAACAGCAGTTAGCGTAATGGCTATGTCGCTGAACTCCCATGTAGTCAACCACGGTTCTAGTCCCAGACCTGGTGACTTAAACTCACACCAGGCATGTGTGCGTGCCCAAGATCCTGAGAGGAGAATGGAGGAGAAGGGATTGTGGTGTTGCTATCCCCCCTTGGGGGTGGTTTTTCACTCACTCTCTGTCTTTCTGGCGAGCGCACGCACCCTATAGCAAAAGTCTCCAAAAAAAAAGAAAAGAAAAGTCAGATTATTTTCTTACTTATTGAGTTCAAGTGCCAGCATATTTTGGCTAGTTCTCCTTATCTGATGTAATTTGCAAATATCCTCTCTCTATATAAATTGTTTATTCTCTCTGTTGTTTGCTATATAGAAGCTTTTTAGTTTGATATAATCCTATTTGTCTGCTTTTACTTTTATTTAATACCTGTGTTTTGGGATCATTTTAAAAAATGTTATTCAAACCAGTGTGAAGAAGCTTTTTGGGGGCCAGCTGGTAGCAGCTGAATCCCACATGGCTGCATGGACAAGTACTGGAACCAGCAGCTTGAAGACATGCCAGGCAATGTGTGTGTGTGCACCCAGCATCCCAAAAGGAGGGAGAAATGGGGAAGGGATTGCAGTGTGACTATTACCCATGGTGGGTGTTTAAGTCGTTAATTCATTTTAGTTGACTTTTGCATATAGTGTCAGATCAGGGTTCAGTTTTATTTTGTGTGTGTGTGTGTGTGTATGTGTATATATATATATATCTATATCCACTTTTCCTAGTACCATTTATTGGAAAGACTGTCCTTTCCGCATTGTTTTCCTGGCATGTTGGTCAGAGATCAAATGACTGTAAATGCCTGGATTTATTCTCTCCATTCTGTTCCACTGGTCAATGTGTCTTTTTTTTTTTTTTTGCCAGTAATACCTATTGCTACATCTTTGTAGTATATTTTGTGATCTCGGAGGGAGATGCCTGCAGCTTTGGTTCTTTTTGTTCTAGGTTGCTTTGGCTATTTGACATCTTTTATGGTTCCCTGGGAATTTTAGGATTCTTTTTTATATTTGTATGAAAAATGTCATTGGAATTTTGATAGGGATCATATTGTATCTGCAGATTGTTTTGGGGGGTACAGATATTTTAACAATATTAATTCTTCTAATCCATGAATACAGGATATCTGTCTCTGTATGTCTTCATTATATTACATCAATATTTTTATAGTTTTCAATGTGCAGACCTTTCACCTCCTTGGTTAAATTTATTTATTAAGAATTTTATTTTCTGGGGCCAGCAGGTGGTGTGGTGGTTAAGGCGCTGGACATTCCCACATGGCTGACCATGGTTCAAGTCCTGGACCTGGTGGCTTGCTTTCTCACTTTTCTTCTCTCTGTGTGTCCGTGTTTCTCTGGTCAAATTAAGGTAAATGAACAAATAAATTAAATAAATAATTCTTTATAAAAAATAATTTTATTTTCTGATGCTATTATAAATGGTATTTTTTTTTCTGATTTTGAAGGGTTTTTAGGGTTTTCAGTAATGTAAGATCATATCATTTATAAACAGAGACCATTTAATCTGTTTCTTTCAGATTTGAATGCCTTTCTTCCCCCCTGTCTAAATGCTCTCTTGAGAGCTTCCAATATTAGATTAAATAGAATTGGAGAGTGATCATCCTTTTCTTGTTCTTGATCTTAAAGGAAAAGCTTTCAACTTTTCACTACTGAGTATGTTAGCTGTGGAGTTGTGATATATTGAGGTATATTCCTTCAGCATACCTAATTTGTTGAGACTTTTTATCATTGAAGGATATTGAATTTGTTAGTGCCTTTTCTCTCTTTGTTGTGATGATCATGTGATTTTTGTACCTTATTCTGTTAATGTGGTTCCTTCCTTCTTCTAACTTTGGGGTTAGTCTTTGTTTGTCTCAAGATAGTTTTTTATTTCTCTTTTGATTTCTTCTTTGATCACTGGTTGTTCAAGAGCATGCATTTAATTTCCACATATTAGTCAGTTTTTCTCCTGTTACTGATTTCTAGGTTCATACTAATGTGGTTGAAAATGATAGTAGATATGATTTCACTCTTAAATTAGTTAAAACTTGTTTTTGTGGTCTAGCATATGATCTATCCTAGAGAATGTTCTGTGTGCACTTAAAAATGAATGTGATTTCTGCTGCTGTTCAGTGGAATCTTTTATATAAGTCTGTCAGGTCCATTTGATCTGAAGTGTAGTTTGATGTTTTCTTGTTGATTTTTTTCTCCAGGTGATCTATCTAGTATTGAAAGTCGTGTATTAAAGTTTCCTACTATTACTATATGCTGTCTATTTCTCCCTTCAAATCTATTGATTTTTCCTTTATGAAGGATGCTCCAGTGTGGGGTGAATATGTATTTAAGTTGTTTTATTTTTTTGATGAGTTGACCACTTTATCATTATATGATGACCTTTGTTTGTTGTGATGCCTTTTAACTTAGTCTATATCGTCTGATACAAGTGTAGGTGCCCCTGTTCTTTGGTTTCCATTTGCATGAAATATCTTTTCCTATCCCTTCACTTTCAGTCTGTGTATGTTCTTAATAGCTGAAGTGAGTCTCTTGAATGAAGCATGTAAGTTGGTCTTGCTTTTTAATCTATTCAGCAACTGTGTGTGTCTGTGTGTTTGTGGTTGTCTGTCAGAGGACACATGAGCATGCTTGCCAGAGAGAGAGGTAGATAGCATCCAGCATGGGTGTAGTCATGCTGCAAACCCTTCTCTAATTTCTCCATCTTGTTGGGATTAAGGGCATTAAATATACATTTTAGGACAGAGAATGAGAGAAGTTTGTGTACCTTATTAAGCAAAAGAGTGAATTTTTAATATTTTTTTAATCAATAAAAGAGAGGAGGTTTATACTAGTATGAAATGAACTGGAATGTGGGAATGTCTCAAGGCCTCTAATATTTTTTAAGTCCTGTATGCATGTAAATGGATAAGGATTCAAGAAATATCCAAGCATTTTAAACTTTTGTTGTTAAAGATGTAAGATTAATTTTATATACTTTAAGGAGTTTTTTTTTGTTTGTTTGTTTGTTTTTTTTTTTTTAGATATATGAATTTATCTGTGTTGTGAGCCGTGGGTATTTCTATGTCATTGCAGGCCTTCCGCGTCCTATGTGAACCAACTGGCCCAAAATCTTCAAGCTCTAAAGATTCTCATCGAGCTTGGCAATGCTCAGATGTACCAGAACCTGCCCTCTGTGGGATAAGTAGGATCTGGGTTCTCAAACTGAAGAGAAGAAAGCGCATTGCAAGACGACTGGTTGATACTCTCAGGTAAGAAATAAAATAAAATGGATATAGACCCAGAACCTTAGGTTCTTAGCTTCATAGAACCTCTGTCAGCTCATAAGCTAGAGATAAGGATGTTTCTAAGACACCTCTGTAGTGTCAAAGTCAGGTTAAGGCAAGCATTGACCCTGGACAAAAAGTATTAGATATACTTAGTGTAGAGTAACATTCCAAGTGTGAAACATTCTAGTTCAGTGCTTTGTAAACTATGTGTGGTGAAGGACTAGTTTATCATAGACCAACAATGTAATCAAATCAAGTAAAAACAGATTGCTAGAAAAATGAAAAAGAGAAGCAGCCCTGTAGTGCAGTGGTTAAGGACTATGTGGAAGGAGCCAGATTCTACGTGGTCAACTGTGGTTCAGATACTGGCCCTGGCAGCTTGAAACATGTGCCAGGTGCATTTGCATGTGTATGCAGGATCCTGACAGGATGGAGAAATAGAGGAAAGCATTATGACTAGGTCCCATCATGGAATACACTTTATCTTTCTCTGTGCATGTGTACATATTCTCTGGCCTAAAAGGAAAAGAAAAATGAAATGGAAAAAGAAAACAAAAACAAAATATAAGCCCAGTTTTATTAGACTTAACAGATGTAAAATTGCTTTCCAATAAATATAATTGATGCCAAAAACATAGGCTTTAAAAATGAATTACAGAAATCGTACATGTTCATTTGCTAGTGTGTGACTACAACATGGATGAGCCTTGAAAACATTATGCTACTTGAAATTAGCAATTAAAAGACTCAAAACTATATGATTTCTTTTATATAAAATATCCAGAAAAGGCAAATTCATAGAGACAGAAAGTTGATGCGTAGTTTCCAGTGATTGAAGGAAGGGTGAAGTGAATGGAAATCACCTGCTAATGGGTTTCTTTTTGTTGTGATAAATATGTTTTGGAAGTAGATAGTGGTGATGACTGGGCAGTTTTTATGAAAATTACACACAGACACTCATTTGTACACATTAAAAGAGTAAGTCATATAATGAGTTATATCTCAACCAAAAATTGAGTGATTGGGCTAGCAGGTGATGTGGTAGTTAAGGTGCTGATCCCACAAAGCTGACCCTGCATTTCAAGTCCTGGACCTGGCAGCCTGAAAAACATGCCAGGTGAATGTGCATACATGCCTAAAATCTCAACAGGAGAATGAAGGAGTAGGAATTGCAACATGGCCATCCCCCTAGGAGGTAAGGGGTGATTTCTCAAGTTCCTGCTCTCCCTGTTTCTCTCTAGCAAGTGCACATGCCCCATGGCAAAAAAAAAAATCTGAAACTAAGTAAATAAATTAGCAAGTCTCTATTTTAAATTTCTATACATTGCTTTGAACTAACACTGTATATTGATATTGAAAGCTTCTTTTTTTTTTGAGAGGTTTTTGCTATAGGGTGCATGTGCTCACCAGAAAGACAGAGAGACAGAAAATGAGAAATCACCCCCCGACCCAGGGTGAGTGGCCATGCCGCAATCCCTTCTCCTCCATTCTCCTCTTGGGATCTTGGGCACACATGCACACATGCCTGGTGTGAGTTTAAGCCACCAAGTCCAGGACTCGAACCACAGTTGGCTAAATAGAAGTCCAGTGACATAGCCATTGTGCCAACTGTTGGTTCTGATAATGGAAGTTTCTAATGTGACAACCTTGCTTGTTAAGTTACTTATTCTATGAATTAGTCTCAAAAGACATTCTGTCACCTTCTTTACATGTATCATTTGTGGACAGATAACAGACTATAAACCAGTGACCTTCCTTTGACCAAACAGTAGATAATACTTTGAAAAGCATTATTCAAGCCTATGAATATGGAGAGTCTATGACTTTTCTTTTTCTTCACTGGTGCCATAATCCTAATCACCTACACATACTTACAAAGGGAATCAGCAAGAAAAATTGGTGTCTTGTAAAGATTTTCATTTGATAGTTATGAAATACTTCTAATGTTTTATATTGAGATATATAAATTTGGTATGGAGAATACCAATACCTAACCTACTTCTACCAGTCCAGTGCTTCTCAAAATCTAAAGTGCATATGAGTCATCTAGAAATCTTGTGAAAATTCAGATCGTAATTTAGTAGGTCTAAGGTGGTGGGGCGAGAGATTTTGCATTTCTAATAAGCTCTTAGGTGACCTTGAATGTTGCCGGTGCACAGAGTCCAGTTTAAACAGTAAGGCAACAGGTTATCTATAAACAATAATGAATAAAAATTAAGTTGCCCTTTAAAGAGAGAGATAAAACACATTGACATGAAAATGTCTTTCCTCACACATCTGAATAGAAGATATTGGTAAATAATTGACTCATGTCTTGTACATGGAGCAATCTTAATCTTAGGTGGACTTCTCTCTTACCCATACAGGTGATGTTTGTGTCCTCATAGCAGTAGAATATTATTCCTAGTTGTTTTACATAGGAAGCAGCTGAGGTTCCAGTAGGATTATTTTTACAAATTTACACCAGAAAGCTATTAAAAGGGCAGAGTTGGGACTGAAACATGAGTCAAGTGCTCTATCTATAACTGATGCTGTGTATGATAATGATTTAAACCAACATTTCCCTGTGGACTAAACTTTGTATTCAATTATAGTAAGTATACTATCCACTTTAACTTCTATTTTAACTTACACTTCTATTTAAATCTAGTTCTTTAATTTTTTGGAAATAATTTAAAATTTGCAAGAATAGTTAAAAGGGTTCTTCTGGTGCAGTGGTAAAGCACTGCTCAAGAGAAGACAGATCCCACATGGTGACAATGGGTAGAATTCCTGGTCCGTTCAACCTGAAACATGCATGTAAGCGCCCAAGATCTGACTGTCTAGAGGACTAGAGGGAGGATATCATGGTGTGACCACACTCTTTGGAAGATGCTTTTCTGTCTGTCACTGTCATGTGCATGTGCCTTATCATTAAGAAAAATAATAATAAAGTGATTTTTAAAAAATAGTAAAAAGAACCCCCTATATACCTTTACTCAGCTTTTTTTTTTTTAATTGCCAGAGGATACATGTGCTTGCCAGAGAGAAAGCATCCCCCACATATGGGGTATGATTACACCACAACATTTTTTCCTCCATTTCTTCATCTTATTAGTATTTTAGACATGCTTACTATACATGCTTACACTCTCAGCATGTTTTCAAGCTCTCAGGGCCAGGATTTGAATCACGATCAGCCATGTGAGATTTGGGTCCCTATATACAGGGCTTAACCCACAGTACATGGTGCTGGGACACCCAGATTTGTTAAATTCAACATTTTACCACATTTGCTTTACCATTCTTGTATAGGTATACTTTCTTCCTGTTGTTTTTAAAAGTAAATTACTTTTACTGAACTGGACAGTGGTGCAGAGGTAAAAGGCAGCACTTTGAGGCTGACGCACATGGGAAGGTTCCTCGTTCATGTCCAGAGACCTCCCTGAGTATGCTGGGCATATGTGTACCTATGATCCGTGTACCCAGATCTGGCTAAAACTAGAGTGAGTGGATGGCAGCATCAAGACCCTGTTAGGACTGTTGTCTTTCTTTCTCATGAATAAGTAAAATTTAAGAATAAATAAATGTTATATATATTATGCCCTTTACACCTTCACATGCTTTATTGTATTTCTCAAGAACAAGAATAGTCTCTTCCATAACCACAGTGCATTTATCAAATCCAGGAAATTTAATATTGATATAATTTATTCTAATTGTTAGTCCATATTTCAGTTTTTCCGTGACCTGAAATGTTCTTCAAGGCTTTCTCTTTATAGGATCATGTAATTGCATTTAGTGGTAGTGTCTCTTTACTCATTATCTTCCTTTTGACACTGAAGAATTTGAAAAGTACAGGCCATTTATTTTACAGAATGTCCTTTAATTTGACTTCTTTACTTTCAACCATGTTGTTATTTTCAGTCCTAGTCAGGCAAGATCAGGACCATTGTAGTCAAAATACAGATTCCTTTGTACTCAAAGTTCTGAGTGTGTTTTAGTTGAGAAGAATATAGTTATTGGTTAAAATTGGTGATGGGGTTTTCTTGTTTCAATTGTGGCTTTTAAATTTTTGTTGAGTGTCTCTTTTTTAAAATTTTGTTTTATGAGAGTACAAGAGAGAGAGGCTTTTTCAGAGTTCCCTCAGGCTGTGATCTCATTTCCTGAGCCCTCCAGCTAGTCAGGATCTTGAACTCATGTACACAGCATCTTTTAGGTCAACTCAGAACCTAAAACTGTAGTTGGACATGTGTCTTCCAGCACAGTAGACTAATGGCAGGTGGACCAACAGTACGTTAGATGGTCATTACCGTGAATAGTCTGGGATCAGCTGGATGATTGGTACAATTGTCTCTGCCTCCTAGCAGTTTTCTAGACCTTGGGTTTCTCATCTGTGAAATGATTAGACTTCCACTTCTGAAATCTCTAAAATCTTAGGCATTTTGTCATTTGCTAAAAATAATGTTAATGTAAATTAAGAATGTTTACTTAAATGAGCTTGTTTAATCAGATTTTTTTTTAAACTTGTTATAGCCATAGCATGCATGCACTCACTGGAGAGAAAACAGTGAGAGAGAAAATGAGAAATCATCCCCCAGGGTAGATGGCCACATTGCAGTCCCTTCTCTTCCAGGAAGTTTGGGCATGCACACATGCACATCTGCAGTGATTTTCAAGCCTCCAGGTCCTGGACTTGAACTGTAGAGTCTACATAGGAGTCCAGTGCCTTCACCACACCACCTGTTGGCCCCATTTAATCAGAACTTTAATTTACTTTTTTTTTAAAAAAGCTCTTATTTTTTATTTTGCTATAGGGCATGTGCATTCACGAGAGAGAGAAAGCGCAAGAGAGAGAGCTGCTAGGTCTGGAACTTGAACAGCAGTCGACCATGTGGGAGTCCAGCACCTTTACCACCACACCATCTGCTGGCCCCTGATTTCTATTAAAACCATATTTTCTTCTTTTTCTGTTTTTTAGGAACTGCTTCATGTTTGGCTGTTTTCTCAGCACTAATGAAATAGCATTTTCTGACCCAACACCTGATGGCAAGTTATTTGCAACCAAGTACTGCAATACCCCTAATTTCCTTGTCTACAATTTTAATAGTTAAAGCTGATTACAACTATAAAACAGTTACTTCATGAGTAAATTAAAAAAGGCTTCTTATCTTATAATATTGGACTACTGATACTTAATATAGTATAAAAATAAATATCGAGACATACACATACATACATATGTCAGTTTTATTACTTGTAAGTTGAAAGTCAGGGATAAATTTGTTGAAATTGGTTGGGGATTCATAAAAAGGAATAATCTTTAATGTACTGATTAGCACTGAGTGTCCTTAATTATGAAGTGTTGTCGCTATAACTGTAACATCACTTGCATCTTACATAGGAGCTTATTGGTGGTTTTCTGCAGAACAGTGACTACTTACCTCTTATTAAAGTACACTTTTATAGACTAAGATTTTGTCATACCCCATCTGAAACAAAAATGCCAGTTTAAAGCCAAGCAAATAACTTCTATGTCCAGCTTTGAAAGGTAATTCCTGAATTGTGTATACACAGTTCTCACTTGATAGGCACTTCTCTGTAGTAACTCAGTTTGAATATATTTAGGAAGTGTTTTGAATTTCCAATTTATAACAAAAATAGATGGTAAGGAGTAAGTTATCTCATATCTATTTATGTAGAGCGGAGCATAATTCTATAGCTTAATGTTTTAATCATTTTGAATATCAAATTAGTTCAGTGCACATCTCATCAGATTTAGTAATTGCACTATTATCATTTCACTAATTTTTCTCATGTGAAAATACTGTAGTGCTACTTATTTTTAAGGAACTCACTACTGATAATTGATGTTATTAACAAAATGGGTGCCTTGTAGTATTAGATTAATTTGGTTTCATTTTTTAATTTTTGGCTTGTCTAAAATAAACCTTACTTGTTCTAATACATCTGGTATAAGTTGTTACAAAACAGAAGCAAAATTTGGTAACGGAACCAAGATTAATAAAGGGAACTTGGCTGATAGACCAGAGAACATGATGACATGTAAATATACTTAAATATACACAGTTTTCTAATATGATTCTTGGGATACTTACTTTGGAAAGAAAAGATTCATTCACCTTGTGTTCATTCTAAAAATTAACTGCTATCTAGCTGTAAGACTCTAAAGAATTAGTTTCCAAGTTGTAACCATGTAGAATTTGTTCACCTTCATTGTTCTTTCTTGTAAGTTAACATGGTTCCAAAATTAAAAAGCTTGGGTTCTAGGAAGAATGAATGTGGAAGTGTTAAAATGTAATTATGCAAACATTTTAATGTTCTTTTTTGCACTGCTGTTAAATGTTTTAAAATATTTTATTTAAAAATTTTTATTAACATTATTTTGTTTGCTTAATGCCTTTGTGGTGAACCAATTAAAATTCTGAATTGTTTATTCTTATACAAATGAGTGCTCTGATTTTCTCTTATACTTTCTTTTTTTTTTTTTTTTTTTTTTTGGAGAGATTTTTCGCTACAGGGCGCGTGCGCTCGCCAGACAGACAGAGAGAGACATAGAGACAGAAAGCGAGAAATCACCCCCCAGGGGGGATGGTCACGCCGCAATCCCTTCTCCTCCATTCTCCTCTCGGGATCCTGGGCACGCACGCACACGCGCCCGGCGTGAGTTCTAAGCCACCGGGTCCGGGACACGAACCGCGGTCGACTACGTGGGAGTCCAGCGACATAGCCATTATGCTAACTGCTGGTTCCCTCTTGTACTTTCTTTAACTATAAAAAATATTGATACTATTTGCTTTCTGTAAAAACAATCAGATAATACAGAAATAGAAATTATGAAAAGAAGCTTCCCCATAATCCTGTAGGTTTACTGCATATCACTTCAGATTAAATACATTTGCAGTTACTTTGCAACTACCTCACTTTAGTATGTGTTAGTCATGTTGAGTTTAAAGTACCTACTTCTGTTTTAAATGCATGTGATGATTTGCTCTTAATACTATTGCTTTCATTGGGTTTTCTTTTCTTTCTTTCTTTTTTTTTTTTTTTTTTTGTGGGAAGTAAAACACACACAAGAAGCAAATGCACTGAGAGCCTCAAAAGCAATGACATACCTACCACTCAAATCTTGGTTTTTCCCTTTCTTCAAAAAAGGAACTGTGGTTCCTTGGAGAAATGGCTCCTTCTTGATGCTAGAATATCTTGTAATGCCAGAAAACTAAGTAGTATTTTTAAAAAGTTCAGGATGATGGGACAGACATGTCAAAGGAACACAGATGCCAAGTGAAAGAGCTCCTGTTGGTTACCATTGGAACAGTCTGAACAAAATAACGTGGTATAAAATGAATATTCATGAGTGCATACTAGTAAGTGAATAAATAAATGAAGAACAGACTAATCTGTGCAGAAAATTTTCAAATAATTTACATAAATGCTTTCATATAATGGCCTGCCCTTTTTTTTGGGGGGGAGGGGTGCGGAGATATTTTTACTATAGTGTATATGCACTCACCAGAGAGATAGAAAGTAAGAAATCACCCCCCAGGGGAGATGGCCACACCACAATTCCTTTTCCATTTTCCTCTTAGCATTTTGGGCACACATGTAAATGTACCCAGTATGAGTTTCAAGATACCAGGTCCAGGACTCCAGTATTGGTCAGCATGTGGGAGTCCAGCACCTTAGCCACTACGCCACCTGCTGGCCCCAACTGCCCATTTCTTAACTGTGGGTTGCACATACCTGACTTCCTTCCAAAGAATACAGTAAGGAAAAGAAGTAAGTCATGTTTACAGTAGTAACCTGACAAATATTACCTCAGCCAGGTGATCGAGGTCAACGTCAATAGTAATGTCATGTCAGTATTTGACAGTATGATGAGAAGGATACTTTACTTCTGTGGTCTTCTTCCCAAATCCCACCCAGCCTAGGTTACAGATTGAAAAAACCATAAGACAAGCTCCAGTTGAAGTATACATTTCTTAAAAGTGTCAGTCATCAAAAACAGGGTAGGTGTGAACAACTATTACAGCCAAGGTACATGACAATTAAATATAATGTGGTGTCCTGGAAAAGACCCTGGAACAGAAAATACTAAGTGAAAATTAAGTTAAGTTGGAATAAAATATCAATTTTATCTAAAGTGATATTTATCAATATTACATCATTAATTGTGACTATATAAAATATTGATAATAGAGAAAGTAGGGTATGTAGTTTAATGGAACTCTACTTTTGCACTTGTCTGTAATTTAAAACTATTTGTAGTTTATTTTTAAAATGTACAACTCAGTGAATTATCAAGCAAATGACCCATGTTACACTACTACTCAAGATATGTAAGTAAAACATTGCTAGCACCCAAGATATCTTCTTCATGCCCTCTTAAATCATCTTTTTTTTTTTTAAAAAAAAGACTTTTGCTATAGGGTGTACGTGCTTCCCAGAGAGACAGACAGACACGGTGAGATAGAAAGCAAGAAATAACCCTCCAAGGGGAGTGGCCTTGCTGCAATCCCTTCTTCTCCATTCTCCTCTTGGGATTTTGGGCATGCATGCACACACGCCCGGTGTGTTTTAAGCAACTGGGTCTGGGACTTGAACTGTGGTCGACTACATGGGAGTCCAGTGAGTAGCCATTATGCCATCTGCTGGACCCATCAACATCATCTTTCTAACACCTAACACTTAAGTGTTTTTGAACTTTATATATAAAACAGACAAGAAGGACCTGCTATTTCCCAGAGTCTGCTCTATCAGCTTGCCAAACCTAGCAAGAACGACCCATTATGTGAGTCAGGATGAAGTTTAAAACTACAAATAAGATTTTTCTGTAAGTCAACTTTCAGTTTACTTTTCAATTTAAGAATATTTTCCTAGAAGATATGGTAATAAATGATCTTTGCACTATTGCCTGGTATAATCTCTTATGAGATTATATTTCATGAACAGTCATATAAATTATGGTAAATTCTCATGAATATTACACAGCAATGAAAATAAGTTATATGCTATAATAACATGAATAAAAGGAGCTTGCCATAAATTCTAGGATTCTTTTTTAAAGCTCTGAGTTTAGCGGTTCTATAATTACAATTCAATAATTTAGAAAATGCATAGGAAGCTATAGCTTACACATAAAAACTACTCATCTAATTGACCTTATTTTATAGATTAGCAAAATAAAGCCAAAGAGGGAAGGAAATCTCACATTCACTCAACAAGTTCAATGACAATATTCAAATCAATAAATAATGCCAAGACACTTTCTGATACCAAAAGTATCTTTTATATTCTGTATCATCCTATTTGAGCTTTATTATTTACACCAGAACTGTGAAATGCTCAGAATACAAATTAGTAAATAAAAAGGAATTTCAATCTTAAAAAATACATTTAATAAGTTAAAGCAAACACTAAAGACCTGGAGAGACCCAAGAGAGCAAGACAAACTTACCAGAGTCTGGAGATATCTAAGGAGCTACTCTTTCAAGTCATATTTTTGGCTTCCAGTGACCATTTAATAAAGTACATCAGCCAAGAAAAACCAGGAAAAGATTTGATGTTTTAAAACATACACAGATAAAGACTTTGTACTGTACAAAGTGCTTATTTTAGTAGATCTAGTAACTGATTTGAGAAAGATCATTAATAACTGTTTATAGCATTTTATTGCTAGTGCTTTAAGTCTATAAATAATATCAAAAGTACTTGAGTAGCTAAGTTTACTAAACAGAAAACCCAGTGTAATTCCAATTACTTAGCATCATTAAGGATATAAGAAATCCCCTTATGTCAGAAATATTACAGTTACTCAAAAGTTAACAAGGCTCTAAAATAGGCCACTTTCAGAATCCAATAACTACAGATCATCATAGTATCTATATAACTATATGTAACAAGTAGTTATATACATGAACCTCATGCTGAGGTGGTCATGAATATGAAGTGATCACTGGACATCTGTTTCCAAAGCTTCAACAATGTGTGCAGCAGAAGGACGATCTTTAGGGTCTTCGTTAGTGCATACAGAGAAGAGTTCAATTACTTTCTGGTATGATTCATCCAATTCTTCCATATTAACAGGTGGCCTAGTTCCCAAAGCTGCATAGTATGCTTCATCATCAAAGTCACTTTCATCAAAAGTTTTATCTGCTCATGAAGGAGTTGGGGATTGAAAATAGTGAACAAAATCAGTAAGTCATATAAAAACTAAATGGCCCACCCCACTAAAACACTTTATAGTATGCTTTCCATTATATCACAGGCAGTCTTTTCCCCTGTCTCATCACTTAAAAATGAGATATTGCCTTAGATTTATAGTTACTGACCCTTACCCCTTCCTGTGATAGCTTTCCAACCTTTTAAGTTTTTGCTCCTCTGAATTTTCTCACTTTATCTCCCTATTCTCAGTAAACCTAAATGATACCAAACTAGTAATCAGTATTAATATAAAATGTATTTTAGAACCTATGCCACCAAATCAAACCTTAATTTCTTAACTTAATAGAAAGATACAATTGTATAAACCTTTATTGTTAAGAGACTGGGATGTATTCAAAAATATCTATTCAGTGGCCAGCAGGCAGCTTCATGGTTAAGATGCTGAACTCTCACATGACCAACCACAGTTCAAGTCCCAGACTAAGTGGCTTGCTTTCTCACTTTCTCTCTCTGGTCAAATTTAAAAAATAATAATAAATAAAATTAAATAATTATTTTTAAAAAATCTGTATTCATACCATCATCATCATCATCATCTGGAAGATTAATGTGTGGAATTGATAAAGTCATCATTTCCCACAGAGTAAGTCCAAAAGCAAATATGTCTGCCTTGTCAGTAATGATACCATTCTCTTCCAAAGCTTCCTTGGGCTTCCACGGCTCAGTGCCAATATAACAGGCCTCAGGGTCAGTCACTGAAACAAGCAAAATACAAGGACAGGCAGAGAAATCTCTAAGAGGAAAGGCAAACAACCTGAAGGAAAATGGGCAAATAATTCAAACAGGTTCACTCAATGGTAGCCAGGAAACATGAAAATACATTTGCCTTCATAAATAAGGCTTACCTTTCCCATTAGACTAGTAAATACTAAAAAAGCTGTTTAGTTGGAAGGATATAGAAAAACAATAGTTCTCTTACTTTTAAGTGGCAGGAATATCAAGTAGGTGTTAGGATTACAGACTCTAGAGCAAGATCACCTTGCTTGGGTTCAAAGATGTACAAGCTGTATGACTTTGAGCAGACCACGTTCATTCTGTGTACTATTGTACCATTAGGCTAAGAGAAAGGCCATTTCTGTGCTTCTATGATTGCTAAATCAGAGAAAAGGAAATGGGTTGAATCACATACTGGCTCTAAAAGCTGTCCAGAAATGACACAGGTCTATTCACATTTCCATTTATATTTTAAAGGGAATTTGTCAATTTAAACAAAAAAAGCCAGGTAAAATTCTGATTGGGATTGGAATAAATCTCTAGATCAATTTGTGAGGAATTCATATGTTAATAGTATTATGTCTTCCAATCCCTAAATGTAACATTTTTCTATTAAAATTACAGCTTTTTTTTTTTCAGTGATGCTTTATAGTTTTCAGATCTTTTTTATTGTTTATTCTTAAATATTTTGGGGTTTTTTTGCACTTGTAAATGAATTTTTTGAAACATTTGTCCTATATACAAAAAGACAGTAACATCTTTGCTTATTCTAGTAGTTATTTTATAGATTTCTTAGGATTTTTCTACCTAAATAATCATTAACAACTACAAACAGAGAGTTTAATTTCCTTTCCAATTTTGCATCCATGTTTAGGAGAGACACTGGACTGTGACTTTTTTTTTATAATATATGTATCAGGTTTTAATATTAGAGTCATGCTGGCCACAAAACGAATGGGGCAGTGGTCCCTACTCTTTTTTCTAAAAAAGTCTATACAAAACCAGTGTCATTTCTTCCTTCTTTGTTTGATCAAAATCAGCAGTAAGAACATCTGAGTCTTGAGGTTTTTTGGGTGGGAATGTTTCTTTGATATAAGGCCATTTGGATTTCCTGTTTCTTCTTAATCAATAAAATAACATGTGTTCTTCTAGGAAATTGTCCTTTTCACTATTAAAATCTGTCCACATAAAACTGTTTGTAAGTCTCTCACTCTTTAAATGTGTATAGAATCTGTAGTGATAACCCTTTTGTCATTCTGACATTGGTGATTTATGCTCTCTCCTTTTTCTTGACCAGTCTAGGTAAGGATTTATAAATTTTATAAATCTCATTTTTAATATGTTTCACAATTTCTCATTTTATTTTCTGAAGTTTTGACTTTGTTATAGCATAAGACAAACTCCTATTTAGCATAAGAGTTCATGACAGCTCTATTTTTATTATTGATTACAGATACTGTTATACTCTATTTATCCTATAGGTTTTTAATTCAATTTGTAAACTTTTACTTTAGCTAGATATTAAGGTGTACATGTATTCTAAATAGCTTCCATTAACCATCCCTTTAACTTAAATTCATAAGAAGAGACAAATATAGTGTTATTAACTAAATTAAATATGTTGAAAACAGAGGCTTTCCCTTGAGGCTGGTTCTTTGGTTCTCACTAGAAACATACCTTAAATACTCTGAGAAGAGAATGGTCAGTATTGACAATAAGAGAATGCGTAGGGCTGGGCCAAGAGAAGACTCACCTTTATTAGCAGCCCTCTTTGCTAGTTCCATTAGTTTTATAAATCTTGTCACTTTACTGATGTTAAATAAATTCCTTCACAAAACCTTTATTAAATTTCTTTTTTTTTTAATTCTCAGATGTTTTTGGCACTTAGAAATTCCCATCCAGGTTAGAACGCTTTCCCAAAGTTATCTTCAGAAAAAAATATATTAATACTTATAATTTATTTAGCCAATAATGTACACTGTATATGTGACAAGGAAGGATTGGAGGCTGAGTAGTAAAGAGAGAAAACGAGGTAGACATTTAAAATTTTTTTCTTAAGAGTTTTTTGCTATAAAAAAAAAAAAAAGTTTTTTGCTATAGGGTGCATGCACTCACTGGAAAGACAGACAGAGATAGCAGTTAGAGCTATCTGCTTGCTCATTCTTTGCATGTTCCTGCTATTCTCTGTGCTTCTGTCAGCCATGTTGCAGGCCAGGCAGATGCCAAGTATATGGTGAGAAATTACCCTCCAGTGGGGACGGCCACACTGCAATCATTCTCCTCCATATTCCTCCTGGGATTTTGAGCATGCACGCACATGTGCTTAAAACGTGTGTTTTAAGCTGCAGGGGTCCAGGACTTGAACTGCGGTCAATCACATGGGAGTCCAGAGCCTTAGCCACTACGTCAAGTGCTGGTCCCAGAGAGACTTTTATAAAAAATAATGTTTTGGGCCGACCTCATGATCCTACATGACCAAGTATGTGGTTCGAATGCTTGGCCCCAGGAGCTTAAAAAACTAGGCATGTGTGCATGTGTGTCCAAAATGAAGGGTGGAGAAATAGAGGGGAAGGAATTGTGGTGTGATCATGCTCCACTATGATGTGCCTTCTCTCCTCCACCTCTTTTTCTGGTGAGTGCATATGCCCTTTGGCAAATAAAAATAATAATGTTTTTATTTTTGAACCAAATAGACTTATTACATATTTTAAAGTGTAAAAATTAGAAATTTAAAAATATACAAAAACAATTTAAACTTAGAATATGTCTTACCAGTCATATTTTCATCCAATGGCAGAGAGACTCCTACATCACAAATTTTAATTGTTTCAAAATCACCTTTAATTACAACATTTGAAGACTTTATATCTCCATGAAGTAGCTTCTTTTCTTGGTGCAGATACTAAAATAGTAAAAAAATTCAACACAAATGAGCAGAAATACAAACTAATCAAAAATATAATAGCCTCTTGTTATAGTTCGAATAATGGCTTGTCCCCCTAAGTTTCATATTCTGGAATTTAGTATTGAGAGGTAGTGAGGCTTAGTGGGCAGTGATTGGATCATGGTAATTGCATCATAGGGTAACACTGTCATGCATACATTAATGAAGACTCATGAAACCACTGAGTCCTAGCTCTCACAAGAATGGGTTAGTTCTCATTCAGACTGCTATAAGATAGAGCTATCTGCTTGCTCATTCTTTGCATGTTCCTGCTATTCTCATTCAGACTGCTATAAGATAGAACTATCTGCTTGCTCATTCTTTGCATGTTCCTGCTATTGTCTGTGCTTCTGTCAGCCATGTTGCAGGCCAGGCAGATGCCAAGAATATAAATCTCTGTTTCTTTATAAATACTTAGTCTCAGGTATTTCTGTAAGCAACATAATAAGAGACTAAGACACCTTCAAATAAAAATAATGAGGCCTTAGGGCTAGCACATAGTGTGATGGTTAAGGCATTGGACTCCCACATGGTTGACTGCAGTTAGAGTCCCAGACCTGTCAGCTTGCCTTCTCATGTTCTTTCTCTCTGTCTCTCTCTGATGAGCACAGTTTATTCTACAGCACATTTAAAAATAGTAATAAATATATTTTAAAAAATTTTAAAAGTAAGTAAATAATAAGCCTCGCCATGGTAACACACGCTGGACACTGCTATGTGGCATAAGGCCACATGAGATGCCCAGGTTGAATTCCTGGCCCTCCCTAAAAAGCCAGTATAATGCTATGAGCTTATGATCCCAGCTACTTGGGAGGCTGAGGCAGGATCACAACATAATGAAAACTTGTCTAAGCATACACATACACACACCAAACAATCCCCCTTCCTAAAATACAAGCTTGGGTTTATCCATAATTTCAAATTATCTGAAGCAAAAGAAAGGCCCATCCCATGTTATCTCAATTTTACACACTGACCAGAAACTGAAATGATTCTTTATGATGTCTATTGATAGATACGTTAACTTTGTATTTTCAACCCCAGTTCTCAGAATTTTGGGCATGCACACGTACACATGATGAGTAATTTTTCAAGCTACGAGGATTAGGACTGGAACCATGGTCAGCCATGTGGAAATCCAGCACCTTAACCACCCCACCACCTGCTCACAACCTGATATTTTATACTTTACACCTACCTATGTGAGTTTAAAAAGTGATCTACACAAAACAAATACAAAAACTGTATATATAAACAAATTTTGTTTCTAAATAGAAAAATAATATCTGTCACTCTTGTCATATACAAATTTTTTTTTTTTTTGGAGAGGTTTTTGCTATAGGGCGCGTGCGCTTGCCATACAGAGACATAGAGACAGAAAGCGAGAAATCAACCCCCAGGGGGGATGGTCATGCCACAATCCCTTCTCCTCCATTCTCCTCTCGGGATCTTGGGCACACACACACACGCGCCTGGCGTGAGTTTTAAGCCACCGGGTCCGGGACGCAAACCGCGGTTGACTATGTGGGAGTCCAGCGACATAGCCATTACGCTAACTGCTGGTTCCCGTTGTCATATACAATTTGATACATGCAAAAGAAATTTCTGAATTAGTCATCTGGACAGCTACAACCTATGAATTTTTATAAGTTATTTATTTAATTCCATTTGTTATTATTTTTTAATTTGACCAGAGACAGAGCAAGAGAGAAAGAGAAAGCAAGTTGCCAGGTTTGGTACTTGAACCAGGTAGACTGGCCATGTAGAAGTCTAGCATCCTTAACTACCACGCCACCTGCCGGCCTCAAATCTTCAAACCTATGGGAACAAGTCCTCTGTCTCTGTTCTCTATCTCAAGAAATTAGCTCTTTAACAGTTGTTTTTAATGATCTCTTTTCTTTCAGTTAAATCATAAGCAGGATAATTTTTTAGAAAATAATTATTTAATTTTATTTATTTACTCATTTTTAAAAATTTGACCAGAGAGACACAGAGAGAGAGAGAGAGAGAAAGTGAGAAAGCAAGCCACCAGATCTGGGACTCAAACTGTGGTTAGCCATATTGGAATATCCAGTGCCTTAACCACCATACCACCTGCTGGCCCCAATTTTCATATACCTTTTCACAAATCTTCATTGTGACTTCCTCCAATTTAGCACTGGCCAAGAAGTTCTTTGCTGTTGCTTTTTCTATACTCTTTTCTATACTCTTCACCTATAAGTGGTTTCTTCAACTTTTTAATTAAAAGCTCATGAGCTGAAGTATCCTCAGATTCACTTTCTTTTTTGGAACTGTTTTATTCTTTTGGGTGGTACCGCTATCAGCTTTCTTTTTTCTTTTTCTTTTTCTTTTTATTTTTTTGAGAGGCTTTTTGCTCTAGGGCGTGTGTGCTCGCCAGAGAGACAGAGGGAGACAGAGAGTCAAAAAGCAAGAAATCACTCCCCAGGGGGATGACCATGCTGCAATCCCTTCTCCATTCTCCTCTCAGGATCTTGGGCACGCACACACGCGCCCGTCATGAGTTTAAGTCATTGGGTCCGGGACTCAAACTGCAATCAACTACATTGGGAGTCCAGCAACATAGCCATTATGCCAACTGCTGGTCCCACTATCAGCTTTCTTAATATTAGCGTTTTACGGACTGTTTACTTTTAAAAGTAGCTTTCTGTTTAGGTCTTTCTCTTTTCATGTGTGTGTGGGGGGGCTCCTCTTAATCATCATCTGAAAACTGTTTTTCTTTTGGTCTTCATCATTACTGGATTCATCTGACAGAATTACACACAACATTTAGTTTAATTAGCTTTCCTTGCTATTCCAGAACTGTTCTGTTCCTTGTTACTGCCTTTGCTAGAAGTTTTTTCTTTTTTTTTTTTTTTAGACTTTAGCAATGATTTGTCAGAAGGCTTTTGATGCATTAAGATATTCAAGATCCTCTTTACTTATTCGCTGTTTATACTTGATCTCTCCAAATCAAGAACCTCACAGATACTCTTAAACATAGCATTTCTAAAATTTTTCAACATTTCTTCCTTCTCTTTATATTGGATAATTCCTTTTGCAAATAGAAAGCCACTGAATTGACCTACATTTTTGTTGGAAGAGGACACTATGCCTGGTCTACTACAAAGCAGTTTGTACAGATCTCTAAGTTCCTTTGTTTTCTTCTTACTCAGAAATAAATGTATCCCTTCGGTTTCACAAAGTTTCAGTCCTCTTCCTTACTCAATTGTGAATGACTATCTTGTAAGGAAGACTTGCACTGTCAATCTCTCTACTTTTTTCTTTTCCTTCTTGCCTTCCATGATGAGACTCTTCTCTTTCTCCTCCTCATTGTCCTCATTGTCCTCCTCACTGTCCTCTCAGGGGCAGGCTTCTCTGGCTCCTTCTGAGCAATTTGACATCAATGTCATCATTACCTGATCCACTTTTGAGTCATCTGACGATGAGTCATACAGTAGTCATCTATCAGTGAGTCAGCCAATAGTTTTCTATAGCTATCATTTCTATTTTAAGTAATTTAGTATGCAGAATATTTTTATTCCTTAGGTATGTCTATCCAAAGTCACAATAATTTCTTTATATAACAGAGAACTTTTTTCATTGGCCCTATGTATGTATACTAATGAAGTCCAAAACTGAACAGTCCACAAAGAAATCTTTAGAGATTTGCTTATATCAATAGGGAGTTAGGCTACATATCCAAGAATAATACCTAAATTTGTGTTAAATTTATTAATCCACTAAAGTAAATCAAGTATGCTCTTTATAGCTAAACTATCTACTTAGGTTTTTTCCAGTCTTATATGAGGACCCAAACAATACTTTGCTGATCAAAATAAAGTATACTCTACATTAGCAAATCTGAAACAGTTTTACTGAAGAAACTCCCTCTTTGGGGAAAAAAACATCTCATCTTGTAATTAGATATATACAGAGTGTTTAAGTTTTTTCATGTTCTACAAAAGACATTTAAAACATAATGGCTTATTTACCTTTAACCCTCTTGCCACATTCAAAGCAACTTTTAAAATTATGGCTGCCGGAAAAGGATCTCGGCTGTCTTTATTCCGTTCTTCTATTAAGTCATTGAGAGACTTTTCACCTCCATATTCCATAGCAAGGCATAGACTACCATCGCTGGCTTCAGTAAAAGCACGATACCCTTAAAGAAACACATTTCTTTACACTCAAGGAAGAACTACAGTACTGAAGTTTCTTATAGCAATGAGGATGAAATCATGGATTTGGACTAACACTGACAAATATATAACAAAAAAAGCTGTTGGTTTTTTTTTTTTTTTTTTTTTTTTTTTTTT